TGAGATAAAGGTTGGTTATTAGGTTTGGCCAGATGAGTCTTGTTGGCGATCACTGGCAGTGAGGTTTCTGTGAAGATCTTGGTAAGCCAGGGGATGTCAGACTGCGTGATTATGAGAATTAATGGAGAAGGCAGACTGAGAGAGAACAGTTCACAAAGTCTGTGAGGTGATATCTGGCTGTAAATCATTTTTAATAGTGATATATATATTTCACGTGTCTAAAAATAAACAGGAAATCAAAGCTATGCTTTAGTGAACATATGAGTGAACATTATTGCCTTAACAATAAGTGTATTTTTTAAAAAGTCAATAGAATGACTTTTAAAAAGTTCATATGAATAAGGCAAAAAAATCATCATACCTACATAGGTAACCATTTGGACATCTTATTTACACCATGTATCCTTGGCCTTTTGATATTGTGGCCTCTACAAAAGTCATGCTAGAGAACTGAGTCAAACACACACACACACACACACACACACACACAAAAAAAAAAAAAAAACCTCATAATATTTTAGGTACATTTATAATTCTGTGCTTGTAACTATGCTTGGACTGGACAAGTCCTTAAATTTTTTTAGATGCTTGAGAAGAAGGAAAAAACAAGGATAGAACTCACTGGGCTTCCTTGTTTGAAAAGTGGTAAAAAAAAAAAAGAGAGGGGGAAGGAAGAAAGAAAGGAAGGAAGGAGTGAGGGAGGGAGAGAGAGGAAGAAAGAAAGAGAAGGAATGAAAGCGAAAGGAAGGGAAGGGAAGGGAAGGGAAGGGAAGGGAAGGGAAGGGAAGATACTGTTGTTAGGCGATGGTGGTGCACGCCTTTAACCCCAGCAGAAGTAGGTAGATCTGTGTGGTCAAGGCCAGTCTAGTCTACAAAGCGAGTTCCAGGACAGCCAGGGCTACACAAAGAAATCCTGTCTTGAAAAGCCTAAACCCAAACCAAGCAACCAGAGGACTAAAGAAATGAGGTTTCCATGTGAGGTCTGGAAGGTAGCAGTGGTGTGAGTGGCCAGTGTCAGGCCTACCTCTTCTAAGACGGTTAAGAGGAACATGAACATCTGAATCAGTGTGGTAGGGGAAAGAAGCTGAAGAAGGAGAGAGAAGTATCAAAGAATTCCCATATGTTAACTTCTACTTTCTCAGTCACAGAGCAGGCAGAGTTTTGTGCATACAAAGAAAGAATAGGAAGTTTGAATGTGATGGGCGGGATACTTGAAGAAGGTGAGAAAGTTTGCACGTGACTTCTAAGAGCAATGTGTGGAGGAGCTAAGCAAAGAGAGAAAAGAAGTGATAATGGTGTTGACTGAAGCTGTAATAGACACAGTGGAGCCTCAGTGGCCTTCATCAGAACCACTAGGCCAAGACCGGGCACACTACCACAGAACTGGAAAGCGCTCCCAGTTCCAGGGGACAGGGGGATATGAAACTCTCAGGAGCTTGTGAAGGGCAAATTCCAGTAACTGATCATGGTGGTACAAGCTAACTGGGAAGACAAGACACTGAAAAGAGTGACGTCATAGGTCAAAGAAACAGACACAGCACTTTATTATCGCAAACAGAGCAGTCTTTGGGGGAAAGCAAGACCCTGGTAGCTAAAGAGAAGGGCATTTGGAAACCAGTGCAATTTACAGGGCCAAATCTTGGGAAGGTAAATGTGCGACTAACATACTCTTCAAAAGAAGTCTCTTGGGATACTGCCTAGCACTGCAATGGAAATCCCAAGAACCACGGATTTGCAGGGATGTAAGGGAAGTGAAGGAGAAATCAGGTGATGGCGGTGGTGAAGAGGAGAGTAGAGAAGGAAAGGGGCTATAGCTCGGTGGATAGACTTCTTGCCTAGCAAGCACAAGATCCTGAGTTTCATCCTGGCACTTCGGAAACCAGGCATGGTGGGATGTATAGGGGTTCCTGGCCCACACTCAGAAGA